TATATATACATATATATAAATTTCTAATTATAAAATAGACATATTTTCCATGTATGTGTATACAACAAGAAAGAAAAGTTTCTCCGAGAATCAATTATGTTTTAATTTGTGAAAGAAAGTTATATTTTAGTTTAAATATAGTACAATTAGTCATATCATAAGTAGATCATATTCTCTGACACAGTTCTTTATTTTTATTTTTTTTTATTTTTAATACTATTATAATTCGTATAAAGTCTATGCTGTATCTTTTTATGATCAGCTTACATCAGCATAAATAAATGTGTCTATTTATTTACACACTCGTCATTATCCGTGAAATACTTGATGATAATCGCAAGAAAATAAGAAACATCACATTGCAGGATCCAATGGCGCCGGATGCGGTTATCCAGGTGCACCGGCACATAGTAGCGTGCGTTTCACCATCAGAGATTCCGACGACATCATAGACGAGGAAGATGAACTCCTTAAGGATACCACGTTACCGATAGGCACTAGAGCTACATATTCTTGTGAACGTGGATTCGAGCTTCTGGGACCAGCTAGGAGAGACTGCCAAGCTAAAGGCTCGTGGATGCCAGAAGGCGTACCCTTCTGCGGTAAGTATCATCCATTTTTTGATGTATAACTTGTAATTCAAACATATGTAACTCAAACATAATGTTAATTCTTTTGATGAATATTATACAATTAGATATGCGATAGTTTATCGCTAATTGTCATGTCTTATCAGAACATTTGATATCCATAAAAAGTAATCCATATAGGAGTAATTCTTGTTTACAATTTTGTAAATTACAAATTGCAATTTAGCTATAATTTAGTTTGATAATATAATTTATAAGAGATAATTTGATGACGCAATATCATAATTAGAGATGTTTTATGGCAAATGTTATTAGCTCTTATACAAAAAGTTTCAAACATAATTCTTTTTTTTTCTTTTGATTTTTTCTGGATTTTAAAGTGATCTGATAAATTTTCTGATTTGATAAATTTTCAGTTTTTATAAATGATTTTAATTAAAAAGTCTATTTAAACACATTATTAAAGTAAAAAGAATTGTATTTTGAAAATAAGTAAGTTTAGTTTATCAAATAATCGATCATTCATTTGTAATTGTCTAATGCATAGTCCGGAAACTGTTACTTCCTCAATGTTTTCATGAAGTCGAAATCGAGTTCAAGCTGAATAGAGAGTAGGGAAATGACTGAATAAGTCTGGAGACACTCCGCGTAGATTAGAACGTCTTTATACAGAATAGTCCGCCTTTCTATTATAATTCGAAACGAGCGGCCAATGACGTTCGACTGTATTTGCGTCCGCTGTTTCGGCAAGACAAGTGACCCGATTCCACTTGTCCTTGACCGAGCAGGTCATCTGACAACGACTATACAAGCATGAAGCAGTGCCATGCCGGGAACGCGCCGGTGGGGGCAGTACACCGTTAACTCTGAACCTGTTACCACTTAAGAATACCTGCAGCCTTCCCAACCTTATGCGCATTCCTTAAACAGAGACCTGCCAGACTTTTTGTTATCCTTGGACCGAGTTGAGCGAATTTACTCTATTCTTCTTGCGACGCTGGAAACACTTCCGCATTTACTTCCCGACATTTTCGTTATGTCGTTTCAATAGCATATTATATTATATATTATTAGCATATTATATATTATTTATTTTAACTATAAGTGTATCTTTATTTTATTTTGGAATAAGATAAAGAAAATTCTTGGTTTATCTTGCGTGAGATGGAATATTAATTTTCTTCTAATAATGTCTATAGAACTCAAGACAGCTCATTAGTAAGTCATTTACTTCACGAAATATCTTACGTGCCTTCTTATACATAAAGCATAAGCATATATTAATGCTTGCATTTCTTACTAGCAAAAGATCTGACCGGTAATGATAAATAATAATCTTTTCGTATATTCCATGCATATGTTACAGAAATTACTTATCGGTGAAATGCGTTTTCTAACTTTGCGTTCGATCTCAGGAATGAGGTGATTCTATCCATTATTTCTCCATTATTTCTCTACTGAAATAACATATGTAATCATTTAAATAATTAAAACTTGTTTTTTACATATGAATTATTCATTGCTTTCAAAAAATAAATATTTCTGACTTTATAAACAAGTTTTAATTATTTAAAATTAAAAATTATTTAAAATTAACACTTATGCTTTATACATAATTATTATTATAAATTTATTAACAAAGAACATTTTAAATAAAAAATAGTTTGTGAACTAGATTAAGATTTCTCGCACGTTTTTACTGTGATATAAATTAATATTAAATCTGTTTTTTTTAATCTGTTTTTTAAGAAAACCATTTGAATTTTACCTTTTACTAATACATTAATTAACTACAATTTTAATTTATCTTTTCATCTTCAGAAAAACTAGAACCAGAATTACAGAAAAAGTACAGTAAACCGTGAATTGACCCATTTTTTATTTTAGTCGTGCAATTAACTAATGATTGACTGAAATGTGCTTCGGAAGTGCATAACGTCGCTCTTCCTTTTAGTGATAAAATTCTTACATATGTTCTCATGCAAAACGTATCAAAGTGAAAGAGCATGGCTCGGAGAGAATCGCTTCTGATGAGATCTCACGGCCATGCTCTGCGAATTCAACGACAGACTGGACAGGATCACGAGAAATGGCGCCGTGTTGTAGGCGGAAGTGGGTCGCGTGGATTACGAGTACACGATGTCGACACGCCCCGATGATTGCAAGGATTGTCTCTTTGTGGCATGAACCAAGCAGAACGCAAGAAAGAAAGAATGAAAAGAGAAATGCACTTGTCAGGTGCCGACAAATCTCTAATAATGAATAACAATATAAATTATATAAATTATGACATAAGTAATTTACATTTAATTACTTATTCTTTCATTTATTTTACAAACATTCCACATAAATTTCATTACGTTCTCCTTTTCCTGATTGAGTCACAAGTAGGTCTGATTAAAACGTTAACAATGCTCTGACATTTTCATCTGTCAATGAATATATAATAATTTTGTATGCTGTGCAAAATATCAATAAGTTCCACAATATATCACTTTGTTTGCTCGTTTCAAATTATTTAAATTTTAATTTATTTAAAATCCCGATTACGCAAATACTGACAACATGAGCAAAGTTTTAAGATACGTACTATGATACTTCAGAGAAAATTTAGCGAACTGTGTAATTGATCCTGCAATATATTGAAATAATATTAGGTATACAACTTTGCTTCCGCCGTTTTCCTATAGATGGCTTTAGCGGTAAGTGGTGGTCGAAATAAATAGATCATAGACGTCATACAATAAACTTGGGCATCTGTCAACATAATCCCATAGAAACATTAGTCGATTTGTGTCTGTATCATAAAGTTATTCTCGATTGAAAATGTCAGTTTACGAGCCAAATTCTCGTCGTTTGCGGGAGGTTTTAATTTTTTGCTTCAATATGAAGAAATCTACGGCTGAGGCTCATCGAATGCTCTCAAATACTTATGGTGAGGCCGCTATTAGTGAAAGAAAGTATCGTGAGTGGTTTTAACGCTTCAAGAACGGGGATTTTGACGTCCAAGGTCATGCTCTGTATTTGGTGGGACCAGCTCGGCGTAGTGTATTATGAACTGTTAAAACTGACTGAAACAATCACAGGCGATCGGTATCGAACGCAATTGATGCGTTTGAGCCGAGCATTGAAAGACAAACGGTCGCAATACAACGAGAGACACGATAAAATGATTTTGCAGCATGACAATGCTCGATCCCATGTTGCGAAAGTGGTCAAGACATACTTGGAAAGTTGAAATGGGAAGTCCTACCGCACCCGCCGTATTCTCCAGACGTTGTTCCCTCTGACTATCACTTGTTTCGATCAATGGCACACGGCCTGGCTGACCAGCACTTCCGGTCTTATGAAGAAGTAAAAAATTGGATCGATTCGTGGATAGCCTCAAAAGATGACCAGTTTTTTCGACGCGGGATTCGTACGCTACCCGAAAGATGGGAGAAAGTAGTGGCCAGCGATGGACAATACTTTGAATCATAAATGTATAACCAGTTTTTTACAATAAAGTCTCGACTTTCGGAAAAAAAACGGCGGAAACAAAGTTGTACACCTAATAAGGTAAGTTCTTACATCAAATCGATGTTCTATTTTATAAGTGAGAAACTATAATTAATACAACTTAATCTCTAATAATTAATCTCTGATAATAAACTTTTTAATCGATCATAAAGTATGAGAGTCAGACCAGTTCATCAATTATATCAATGCATATTTATTGTCATTAAAAATAAATCATTAGAAAAGCATTACTAGATATAATCGGCCTGATAAAACAGCTGATGGAGATTAACTGCAACCATCGACAATGACGATGCAAAGTTTTTGTTAATGCGCGACATCTAAACATATCTAAATGGCATATCTTACTGGAACAGGAGATATAGGTCACGATTCTTGACTCAACCGATTAGAGGAAAAAAAGGGACAAGAGTGAGTGAAATTGCAATAATCAGAAAAGTGGAACATTATCTCTAAAATTATTTTCAAATTTCACGGTCTGCATATAAAAATTGTTAACGACCTCTTAACTCGAATGTTTTCAAGCACTCAACTTTATTCTTGAGTGATAATGTTGCTAATTATTCTCAGTAAATTTTAGCACTTAAATATGTTATTAATACCGATCTTTCTATATTATTCATTCTTTTTTAAACTTTATGTTTATTTAAAACGATTTAAGTATATCAAAATGTTATCTGTTTTTTTTAATTAAATAGATGCTTTAAAGAGAAAGACAGAAAAAGTAATATAAATTAAATGATATTTCTGTCCAATTACATGCGTCCATTTCTCGTGTCTAGAAATCTCTTGATCATGATAATATGTTGCAGATATTTAATGGATATTCTTGAATATCAGTATATATTTTGTGTATTTTCTTATATTTATTTTATATATATATATACGTATCGAATTTTCTTTTTTAGACAAAAAATAATTTTATTAAAAAACTTTATTTAAAAAATTTATATTTATCTATAATAATTTTTATACAAATAATTTTTATGTAAATCTTAATTGTAAAAACCGTTAGAATATCCAAGAATTTCTGTTAGATACCTCTGTTAAATGATAGTGGAGGTTCGGTAGTTCAGTAGAGCAGAATTTGACGTATTCCTCTGCGATAGTTCCTCTTTATACCTATTTCCCGAGGCAAGAGGAAATACCGCGTAGATTGATGACGTTGTAATGGCATTTCTTGTACGGGGCAATAACCGTCGTACATTCGCGGGGGTTTCTTCGTTATTATTTCGATGATCGAAGCAAGAGTGTGTTTGCACAAAATTACTCGACTGCCCATCCAAGACGGTCGCAACAATTTCTCGTGATCCGCCGACCGCGAGAGCAAGTTGCCACTTGCGCAACTGTGCGTGAACTTGACTTTTCGAACGTACCTCTAGTTTGCCTTTTATATTATATAGTAACATGCTATTTCCGTAAAGAATCCATTTGCGACCGAACTTCCGAGATTAATGACGTTATAAAGGGGAAACATACGAAAGGCTTCAACAAAATTTACTTAAACTTAAAAAGAATGTGTAAAATCTAAAAGTAGATTCAATATTAAATACATTAATATTATCCAATAAATTTAAATATTATTTATTAATGTCTTTTACAATTTAAAAATTTACTTCTGCGGATTTTTAAAACGATATTTAATTTTCGTTATATAAACAGATCTGTCTGTTTTATCTGTCTACTTCCTTTTAAACAAACTTGATTTTAACGTTTTATCTAATATTTCCATTTTTCGAAAATGTTCCGAAAAATATTGGAGTATTCTATTGATATAATGTTTTCATAAAAAGTTCTAGAGATTTACATGAACTATATTTGAAAATGTTTCAGCTAGAGAAATTATAGTATTATAAGTATAGTAAAAAAAAAATAGAATTGCATTTACCATCCGATAAATGGCATAATAAAACTTCAAGTCAGACATAAAATCAACACTTGTCTATTTTCTGTTTTTCGAACTTAAGAATGCACAAGTACTTCGTGTTTTACGAAAGTAAGAAGTTTACTTTCTTTTTCAGTACTCAATAAAGAATTTTCTTAATCACGTCACGATATAATTTAACTGATTCAAGTTAAAATAATGCTTATTATTATAATAATAAAAGCATTCGATGGATTTAACAGTTTTATGGACAAATTGTTTTTTGATCGTTAATCTCTTTGCATCATCGATATTCTCGTCATGATAGAAATATCGCAAACAAGGATATAAGAGCGATTAATATGTCGATGTGGTATAATATTACCTTGCCTTAATGATCGAACTATAAAAATCTCATGTGGATGAAGCCTTGCAATGAAAAATAATAGAATAGTCGTACAAGAATAACGTAAGCAATAATAATTGATTTCAGGGACATGCTATATGCTATTTTACAATATTATCTATAAAAGAAAATAGTCATTCGTGATCTAAAATCTTACCATATTATATATAACACAACTTTCAGTTATTAAAACTTTACATTATTTTTCCTTTCAACAAAATATTTTAGGAATTAAATAAATACTTTTTATCTCTGTAAATAATTTTTAATCTTGATTTTAAGTAATATTTTGTTCTATATTATTTTAATTTTTCTCTTGGCTTAATTTTAATTCTTTTTGTAATACTTTACATAGTTTTCAATTATAAAATATTAATTTGTAAATATGTATATTTTATTAAAGTAATTTATTGACATGAACACACATTACGTATAAATATTTTATATTGAAATAATTTATAAATATAATTTTATGATAAAAATCGTAAAATTTAATCAGTAATTTAATCTTACAATTAAAATAAAAGACATTATTATATATGATTACCTTTATTAGGTCGAAAGGACATAGAATTGCGGACTGCTCGTCATATCTCTCGTTATGCTAAATCGACGGAAGCGATATAATAATGAAAAAAATCTTTTTCGTTTGCGTGTATAAGAAATAACTGTAAATTATGAGGTATGTATGGCGTGCATACGCATTCGTCTTGTGGAAACGTGCGCGGTATATGTGAACTTTTATGGGGTAAGGGGGGTGCTAGCCAGTATGTAGGTTTAGGTCGAGAATGCATCGATTATCTTTGTGTGCCGAACCGACGCCTATTCGATAGAATTTCGATTGCTTCATTAAAATGATTGCGTACAGCAGACGGTTAACGCACATGTCTCAATGAAGATTATAATTTAGTCGCTCGATTAATCACACCATACCATGTACATTTAATTAAAAATTTTGCATTAAAAGTGCAAGTCAGTTTTTTAAATAGTTAATTTTTTTATAATTAATTTATAATATTATTCACTTAGTGCCGATTATGAAAATAATAAATCTGAACAGCATGTTACAATTTATCTCCGTTTAAATTGCTTATGATTTCTAGTATTTTCACGCGGTTAAAGAATTAATTTCGTTGGAGTTAATGTTAATTATTTTTGATTCATAATCGATTGCATAACATGACGCTTTTCTACTTCCAACGGAGTCCAAGTTTTCTTCCGCACAAAGAATACAATTTCGCAAGAATATAATTCCACAGAATACAATTGAACTCGAAGATTAGCCTTAACAAATAAATCTGATCGCTCTTTCTCAACGCATTTATCGGAATATCTTGAAGATGCATTTGATATATATGAGTGAATTTTCAATAAGTCTTTTGTTTACGCATTTGACTTTTACATGTGATATGCTCATCGTCTTGTCTGTGCATCTCTTAATTGTTCCACGCAAGATTTCATGAGATACCTTGAGGCCGTGGTAACAGATTGTATATAAAAACGCGCGTATCTCAAATGACGCTATGAAATGCTTTATACCGAGCAAGTTACATATTACACTGATCATGAAGAATGTTATACGCGCGTGAGAAATTCATTAACACATTTCCAACGCAAGCAATTGGCAAATACTTTACAAGATTAGATTAGATTATTATCTATCTATTTCATATTTTTTATTGTTTCATATATTGAATACCTTTTTTTCCAAAATTTGCATATACAATAACATTTGCATATTCAATGATAATGTAAATGAAGAAGATGGTAAAATACTTTTTGATCTAATTTGATCGTAAAATATAGCATAACTTAATCTCAAGTGATTATAAAAAACCAGATTAGCTCACTTGTATCTCAATTACGAGTTAAGTGTCACTATATTCTACGTAATACTCTTGCAAAAAGCAAAAGCATTATGGAAACCATTTAATCGGTGACTATCAAGTAAAGAATGATATAGTTCTTAAATGAATATAAATGAGTTAAATATCATTACTATGTAACAACTAGATAATGCAACAGCATTATGGAGACTCGTCTGGGTCTGATCTGATTGATCAGACAATGAAGGATACCGATTCCATCGCTAAGTTCTGATTTTAACATGATTAAGGCCGAGGTAATGCGTATCGCAGGCTAGTAGCACGTACCATCGGCATCGCACCAATAAAATTCTCACGTTGCGGTACAGTAAAACTACCGCAAGGCCGCCAACGTGTTTGCGAATGCGCAGCACTTGCACAAAACTTGGCGATGGCCACAGATGGCCGCGGTCTCCATCTGCGCGTGCCGTACGGCTATTCACCCGTGCGATGGTAGTGATGGCGGCTAACCTTCTTTTTATCAGATAGATATGATAATGAATTAGAGCGATTTTCTCACAGGAAAATATTGCCGCGTCACCGAGGTATGCGTTTGATGTATAAAAAAAAGCAAAAATCTGTGGTTGTGTACATGTACGATTATTTGATCTGTTATGTCGTTCTTTATAATCAAGCAGCCGCCTGTTTAATTTATGGATCAAGAATGAGTGGTGCGTAATAATTTCTTATTGCGACGTAATCTCAAGCTCATCTTCTGTAATGATGTATTCGTTAATGGAGACTCTAATCAAGCATCTATTACGACAAGTAATTGATAGAGAATCAGCCAGAGAGAAGAAAAATCAATTTTTATCGTATATTTGGAAACTCAAAGAGTGCTATTTCCATTAGCCTTATCGAATTTATTTACATCTTGTCGTTGTAGAGAAAGGTCCAATTATTTTTTGACTCCTGTGGGGAAATAATCCATTTCGCATCAATTATCAAGCATGATCAATTCATTATCAATTATATTAATTCTTTTTTGCAGTTTTGAACGTGGCAGGCGGCAAAGCGCCGATGCAATCCAGCACCATGGAGGGCGGATTTCCACAACGCGCGGTTGATGGAAGCAGCGGTCAGAGATACACGCCGCAAACCTGCACCCTGACGAAGCCCGAACGAAGACCGTGGTGGTACGTGAACCTGTTGGAACCATACATGGTGCAGCTGGTGCGACTGGACTTTGGCAAGCCGTGCTGCGGTAAGTAATACCGTATATATTTCTTCGCGCTTCGCCGCTTGTGAGAATTTACCGTTTCACGTAATAAATGAACTCTTGCAAATCACAGACGATATTTCTACACACTATCGTTCAACATTCAATGAGCTCATCCAGCATGTCGTTTACCCTGTAATAACATCGACTTCGAAAAGAACTTCGGATGATCTAAACAAGAAAATAAAAAAATATTAGGTATAGAGATTAAAATTTGAGAAGTCCAAGCATAATTTTATTGATATTTTGGAATTATTTATTGTGTTTTGAATTTGTGTAACTTTAAGTATTAACTGATGAAATTATTAAATGAATGAAGAATTCATAAATGTGGAGAACTTGAGATGATAATTAGAATATTTTCTGAATATATAACAGATAATAGATTTTATATTAAATAGTAAATACAACGACAAATGTGTGTTAATGTTCGAAAATATTATTCTGTACTAATCAAAGCAATTATTAAGAGAGCGAACAGCGGAAAATTGGTATTTGCATTGCGATCTTCAAGTGATGATTCGCTCTGTTCCAATTATTGCTCCAGACGAATGGTTGACCATTTCTTTCCAGCAGGACAATTTACTTCCGATGAAAAGTGTAAAATAAAAAAAATTTATGAAGAATTTAAGAAAGATCGCGATAGCGATTATTAGACCTTTGCCGTTCATGTAGTAATTTACGAACGCATCGAATCGTTGCAGTATCCATTTTCTTCGCGGTGTCAATCTCACAGGTATTGAATCAAATGCTCATTATGATGTTGCGTCGCTCGACGGAATAAGTTGATAAAAAGCGGCGAGCAAGAGCATTTTTCATGTGCTACAATTTGCTGCGAACACTTCGTTCTGTAACGAGCGTTACTGATAAGCATGAGCGATAAAGTTTCTCGGTGATCTCGATATGAATTCTAATGCGAAACTTACGCTGTCGAGATAAAATCCCCGCGATACCATAAATATCCCATCCGTCGTCCGACACTTTCGTTTCATGGCACGTTTTCTCGACTTTCTATCAATAAATAAGCATTATTGAGATAATTACCGGTAATACAAGCTTAGCAAGATGGATTCAGTAATCGAAATAAATTCTATATCCAACATTGCCAGCCTATGCTTTGAATAAATTATAGTATTTTAGATTGAGTTATATTAAATAACTTTTCTCACATTTACTTGAACTTAATATAAATAATATTAATGATAGTTATTTTCTTTCTTTTTTTTTTAATTTTACTTTAAAAAGATGCAATATAATATATTATTTTTTATACTGAATTGTCATCTAATGTAGAAAAAATTTTTCTATAACGAAAACAAACTTTTTAATATTAAATTTATTCCATTCTATTTTATTTTTATATTCTATTTTCTGATGTTCTATTGTATAATCTGCGCAATATTGTATAAAGATAATATGCAGATAAAAATATGCATACGTTATTTTATAGTCAACGCTATATAATTCTGACGCAGACTGGTTGATCACGTTTTCCGGCCGATACGATCCATCTTTGAAGAGGTTGACGCTTCAACGAATATTCGTCGATCTGAACAAAATCATTATTATGAACAATCGATCGTTGGAGATTAGTCAATGATGCTTTGAATAAAACAAATAGATTGCGAAAATTTCGCGTTCACAGAATAGCAAATAATCCATTTTATATATAAATAAATAAAAACGATCCGTAAAATTTCACCATAAAACTCATACTTCCTTCCCTTTCCACGAACCAAGTCGAAGGCTCTGCTTGCATACGAAATCATTTAGAAACTCTTCCACGATGAAAGTGAGAGTCTTTCCACTTTCAATTGTTAGAAAACCATCTCAATGCCCATCTCTCGCGGTACACCACATGCATTTTTCAGTGGCACTCGAGAAATCTGAGTTTAATCGTCAATCAGCTCAAAGTTATCGCGTATATTTAATTCCGGAACTAAATCAATCAATTGTTTTGCTATTTTTTCCTTAATGATCTAAATAATATTATACGAATATAATACAAATATCATATAATACATGTCGTATAATACATATCATTAATTATTTAATCATTGTACAAGAAAAAAACAATTTGCAATCTAGTTATATCTAGTTAGCACGGAAAGTTTTGTAGTTCAATGAAGATATGCGTTTCCGCAATTCTGCAGATTATATCAGGTGCTTCTTCGTTAATGGGCCTTCGTGCAGCACTGGAAAATTCGCGTTATCGTTTCGAAAGTTCGTCTGCTCAAATGAGAGAAACTTTCACTGTTAAACGAGCGATAATAATGGCATTGTCAGTGCTGACACCCGCAAAGCAAGAGCATTTTGTTTTTTATTCAAGGAAAATACTCTTGGCTATTTCTTCCTTAAGTAAAAGTATTTCCATCTTTTCGCGAGAAAACTACTCATCAGTGGCAAATTAGCGAGATCCTTTAATTATATATCGGAAAGCGATAAAAGTGAATTCAGAATCATGCGAGCGAGGCAAACAATTAATTCCGCGTGGCGGAAGATTATTAACGACTTCCGTGTCGCCATGTTCACACAAAATTCGCCAAGAGTAAAGCATACACCGGAGAAAGATGAATTATTCAATTGCGATAATTGACGATTGGATAGCTTTAATGCTCGCGGAGACGCGCCCGTAGAATCGCTATGCGAGGTGAAGATAAAACAATGGCCGGCATAATGTAGTTTTAAGCAGCTGTTTAGTTACGGCCCAGCACCGAAGAGATACTGATAATAATTCTCATTCTGACTCCATCGTCCGCACGACTGCTCATAATTGAACAAACGGCGCATTACAATTACTTCGGCTTCTCTGCGTGAAAGAGCAACTTTCACGTTACGCTTCAGCAGCGAAGAAAAATCGATTCGTTTCAATTTCGTCAATAAACTGCATTATTAACTCATGTATTACAGATTCATTGCTATTAATTATCGCATATAATGAACTAAAGAACTAAGTATCGGATTTTATTACAGTAGGCGCATTTGTTAATTTGATAGGATAATTTTTTATTGAATTGCATAAATAAAATCTTTCTGAAATTAAGACAAAAAGGATTTTGTATTAGACTTTCACGAGTAGACACGAGATAAAGTCTTACGCGTTTTGAATTTGATTCATGAGAAATTCATATATCAAATATTAAGCAGTTTTCTATTTAAGTTTTATTCTTTTATTAAATATAAAAAAGATCAGCGTTGAATTAATGAAAAAAATTTAACGGAATTACATTGATAGATAAAAGATAATATAATTAATGTCTACCAACAGTAATTATTAGTAATTAACATTCATGATTAATAGGGGACAGATTTCCCTTGCTGTTTTTACTCACGATACGATGCTTGGCGGAAGATACGAGCGTGTCTCTCAATCCTTTCTCGATACGAGAATTTCTCCTTTATCTCGTGTTGCTCCTTACTCGTGCGCTACATGTCTACGCACTCATTACAAGCAAAAATAGCAGCTTGTACGTTGCAACAGGAAAGTCTTGTGACCGTATATATACCTACGTGCCGCATATACCTATCTCTTAACGATCGTTTGCCAGATGGGAGACTGTCGCACGAATCCATGATCATCACTGTACAGAAAGTATGTAATTGCAGCAGTTTGCAACTCTATGGATATTCGTCGGCGATTGTCTAGCCAGTCACAGTCGGACTGTCATCTGGGCCAGAAGACGTAGCTCGAGATGATTTTATTTGTTCAGATACTTAAAATCGGCATGCGTTCTACCCTCTCAACTAAACTACAAATGAAAATCCCGATTCAGCCTGGTTCTCTTTAATTCATCAAAATCCATAGTGTGTAGCTGCGATCTATTTAGATATATTTTAATGAAGTATATTATCGTTTAACTGAGGTCTCGTGTGATTCTTTTTTTTTTTAATGAACCATAATTAGAATATGTAAAGAAATAAAATTTGATTGAAAATTAATAAATAATAGATGTAATTAATCGCTAACTTTGTTGTTGTGTCTTGAATCTGTCGCAGCAATTTTATTTGTTTGAAATTGAATTATGCATTCAATTTATGTCTTAGTAGAATTAAGGAATATTTGTATGTAATAAAGTGAAGTAGAAAAAAATCATATAAATATAGAAATATTTCATTATATCAATAATGCGACATTCGCTTTTTGAAAAAAATTTCAACGATATTTTAGTTATCGATTATTAAATTTAATGATGTACAAATATTTGAACAGAAAGTTGTTTTACTAAACTATTTTTACATGATCGTTCGAAAATCTCTTCAAAAGAGAAATCCTTTATATTTAATTAATTATAACAGAGAACAGGATGCGATTATTACAGAATTGACACAGATTAAATATGATAAATATGTATCATTAATTTCATGCATGTGCGCAATTGAGCGTCTTAGCGGATTCAATATAATTACAGTCATGATCGCTTAAATCCATAGTCTTCAAAGTTTTCCTTTAGTGAAACTATGTTCCAGCGAAAAAAACTTTGGATTGATGAATCCTAGATAGATGAAGCTAAGACAGAATTGAAAAACAAAAATATTAGAACCAAAATTGTCCATTCATCTATGGATTGTCCATTTTAACAAATTGTTTAATTGGCCTCCAGGCAACGACATCCTCGGCACCATCACCGTTCGAGTTGGTAACAATCAACCAGACTCAGCAACAAATCCCGTTTGCAATCAATTTACCGGATCTCTAGAAGAAGGGCGGCCTCTCTTTTTGCCTTGTAACCCACCGATGCCTGGAGCTTTCGTTTCGGTGCATCTGGAGGTTTCGAAGTTTGCCAATATTCCCGTGCAATTGTCCTTGTGTGAGGCGTTCGTCTATACCGATCAGGTAGATTAAATAGTTATGCAACAACTAGGTCTTATGTCAGAATGGAAATAAATCTATTTCTCCTTCTTCTATGGATGCGATAATGAATGATTGCATAAAAAATGAATACAGGCCTTGCCGATTGAGAGGTGCCCTCAATTCCGAGACCAACCGCCAGGATCAACGGCAACTTACAATGGCAAATGCTACATATTTTACAATCGCCATCCGTTGATATTCAGGGAAGCTCTGGCATTTTGCCGTACGCGAGGTGGCACTCTCGTAGATGAGAGCAATCCAGCTTTGCAGGGATTCATTTCCTGGGAACTATGGAGACGACACGGGTATATTTGTTATTCCTGTAGCTAATATATAGAGAAAATCTATGTAACTCGATAATTGTATATATAATAAGAAAATTTAAAAAATTTTCACGAGAAACAGAGAGAATGATATGAAAACATTTTGAATAAATTTTGAACTCTGAATTTTACAAATAAACTATAATTAAATAGCTCGAAACGTAATTAAAAATATTATATTAAAATTTTCGTTTTTAATATAATATATTATATATTTTAAATACATTTAATTATAATATAATTTTTGAATATATCACTTAAAAATGTCATTAAATTTTTTTTAAATAATACTAAAATAATTGTCCGTTTGAAAAATAATAAATGATCATTTTTTTTTTATTATTAATGAAGGAGCGACATGTCCATTCAGTATTGGATGGGCGCAGTTAGAGACCAGAAAGATCGGACGTTATGGAGATGGACTGGAAGTGGTGAGGAAGTATCTGTTTCGTTCTGGGATCCATTACCAGGTGAAGAAGATTGTGTTCGGTATGACGGCAAAAAAAGCTGGCTTTGGTCCGATACACCTTGCTCATCCCGACTTAATTTTATCTGTCATGATCGTGAGTATCATCTTACTTGTCACACATTCGCATTCCTGCTTTTTAAATAATATTCCAGAAAAGATACTTTAAATATATTTAAAATAATGTATTTTGGAGGCTTCTTATTTGTGAGATTCTGTGAAAGTCTAACATAATATATGGTACATCAATCATTAAAAAATGTTTTAACCGTGAATTTTATTATTCCATCTAAAATTATTTAATTTATATTCTGAAAAATATAAAATTCTAAAAATCTTAATTCTAAAAAATCTTCAATTGTTATTTATTGATCGAATAAATTTTCTTAAGATATAATTTCTCTTAAAGTTGATATATTTTATTCTTATTTAAAATCTTCGATCTATTTGTTGCTCTGAGTTTAATATTTTTCTACTATGCATGCAATTTTTCTTTTTTAGAACCACAAGCTTGTGGCAGACCCGAACAACCACCAAATTCCACAATGATGGTGATCTCCGAGTCAACTAAAATCTCCGACAATGTTTATGAAGTTGGAGCAACCGTGGAATATCAGTGTGACGGCAATAGCCTCCTGGTCGGACCACTAAATCGCACTTGTCTCGATACCGGTTTCTACAATGAGTTTCCACCGGTGTGCAAATGTAAGAAACATGATCGGGGAATGTATTCAAATGAAATCATCACGAACGTGACTCGCATCATAACGCGATTTCATCGTTTCAGATATCGATTGCAACTATCCCGCGAACATAAAATACGGTAGTTATGTACTTATCAACGAAACCACCACTTATCTCAGCCAAGTACAGTATACTTGTGATGATGGTTATGAGATGACCGGTAAGTATTACAGTTCATCACGACTCGTCATAATTATTCATGGTGCATTTGAGATAGAGAACGAATATCTTGTAAATCATTTGTGAGAAATGATTATAAACCAATCTCTGCGACCGCAGGACGTGCTCGACTAATTTGCGACGTCGACGAGCGTTGGAATGGTCCACCGCCGCGATGCGAGCCAATTCTCTGCGATCCACCGGCTACGGTTGCGCACAGTTCTATCGAGATAGAGCGTGAAAGTGTCCTGGTGAGGAATACTTTCAATCAAAGTCTACAAGTTAATAGCATCGTTACCTATACATGTGAAAAAGGCTATCGGCTCGTTGGTTCCCGACAAATAATGTGTTTAAACACTGGATCATACGATCGCGTTGCACCTACTTGCACAGGTACTTATTTATAGATTTATAATAATAAAAGTCAAAATGTATCATATAATTTATAAAAAAATAAATTTTGAAAAATTATAAAATTAAAATTAAATTTTTATTTAATTATTGCACAAAAATAGATTTGACGTTAGAGCGATAATTATTTATTAAGTTTTACAATCATTTGAAATAATTATTACGTTTGATAAATTATATTTCTGACATTTTTATAGAATTTCATAATAATGAAAATTAAATATTATATCAAGTAGTCAAAATTATACAATAAATTATAATATAATAATAAATATTAATATATATAAAATTAATTAAAATACTAGAGAATAGGATATGTTTATGTACATATTTAATATGCAAACTTTTCTTTATCAGAGGAACCACGAACAACTTTGACTTCTCCTACCCGAGCGACATTACGTCCGTCCACTCCGAAAATTCGGACGTACCTCACTTCGAGGACCAGAACCACGACGAGTACAGCAACTACCAGTACAACTCTCTTACCATCTAGGAATGTACCAAACACTGCGGAACTCCCAGCAACGGTGAGGGAGACTGTCTCGAGGAGGCCGAGCATCGGTTTAAATAGACCCATGACTCCTTCGTCGGTGAATGACGCCGGCAGCGATCACCCACAAGACAACGAGATATCTGGAAGCGGCGTGGACCACGCACAAGCGGGAATCAGCGCAGGCATACCGGAACCGTCTGGTCCCTTCCGAGTGGATAGCGCCGAGCAACCTAGCGGTACCCATCAAGCCAAATTGAACTTGGGAGCTGTAATCGCTCTGGGAGTGTTCGGCGGTTTTGTGTTTCTCGCCGCGGTGATCACAACAGTCGTTATACTCATACGCAGGTATATTAAAAAAAAAAAATGCGTCATCAGCCATTTTGAGCGATGATTTGATTTCGATTATCAATCCTTCATCCTGTGAATCTTCTATTTCTGATAATATATCATAACGCACTCTGATATACATAGGTAATATTCGACCGGATTGTACATTGTAACGCTTACTTTGTATTAATTTGATCTAATTTCTGTCTTCTACCGCTTTATCTTTTTCCTAACTTGTAATACATATATACATATGTATATATATATATATATATATATATATATATATATATGCTGCATTGTAATCTTTTTCATACAGATAATTTTGCTTATTGAAAAATGTAAATGTTTCATAAAGTCTTGATGTAACAAAAGAACCTCTAACATTTTAGATAGAACTAAAGATATACAATAGTACTGCTGCCCTTTCATTGATCAAGCTTTTTTGTAATTTAGCCTGTAATTTATTTTAAATGTAGAGGCTCATATTGCGCTTTGCAAAAAAGATATATTCTCTCATTTTCTGATTGATCTATAATAATTTTCTTTAATTTGTTGTCGTTTATTAACCAATGGTTCTCAAGTAATGCGGCCATCTATGATATTTTTTTCATATGTAAAAAAGTGGAACATTATCAAAGATCATAATAAATTAAAATGTCTTTTGTGTAGTTGAAGTGAAAATAAATATAAATGCAAATAAATAAAAGTGGCCGAAATAAGGTTGAGAAACAGTGGTGTAGACGCGACACAAGACCTAAGTTCGCATCAGAGAAACGCGTGAGTTTCGTTGATAGTCTAGTCCACCATGATAATAATTAACACAGTCCATTTGTGTATTGCGGTGGTGTTAGCGGCAGTGGCAGCGTCAGAGGAAGGCGCCGCAGGGGGCTCGGTGGGGTTGGTGCGCTGAGGGGTGGCGGTAGTGGTGGCCTTGGGAGGGGCGATACCGGAGGAATGCCTTCGCGTTGGTATACGCTACTCGCGCTACCCTTCCCCGACCAGCACCTGGGGCGCCGCGACCTCACGGCACGCCGCGGAAACGATCATCCTTATTCTTTCACTTTGTCAGCGGCGCATCGCGCCGGCTATTTCTCGAATCCCTCTCTGTAGACCGCCATCATTGCCCCTCTTTCTCACCCCCGTCGTAAAAAGAGCAAGAGAAAAGAAAGAGAGAATCGTTCCATTCTAATAAAGCCTACAACCACCACTACCACCCCAACCCTCCACGCAACTATCGCCCAACATCAATCATCACGTACCACCACCAACTACTACGCGCCACCCTCGCGAGTGATACTAGTCAAGGTAAACGAGAGCAAGGTTTTACTGAACGCTTTTTTTAGCGCTAGCTCGTTTTGCCATCATGGCACGCCATGCAAAGTAGAAGATGGCTATAGTGCGTTGCACGCACCCGAACACACCAACACTCTGTTAGCAGATAAATCTCCGCCGTGTACTCAAGGATTCTAGAAAATGATCATATATCTTGTACATAAAAGTATAATCTATAAAGAAAAGACTAACAGACGTCTAAATATTATTAATATGGTTTATGTTTGCTGGGATCATTTTAATCTCTTCGTTTTAGTTCATTATCATTATCATTATTAAGATAAGTCGAGATTGACTACAATAATAATGACTACGGTCTAGAAGTCCTGAGCGCTACACAGAAATCGCAAAGAAAGATAATTATGTATAGTGCTTCTTATATGTTCTTTCCTTGCCTGCAATACTTATGTTGTAATCTCTTTAAAATTTCATTAGTACTATAACAGGACAGGAACATAATATTATATATACAACATATATACATATAATATGAAGTGATATATATAAATCTTTTGGTATTTTAGAACTATTATGTAGACACTTTATTTTCTCTCTTCTAGCTTTTTCATTTCAATTATCAGTGGCTTAAAAATAATTTCGAGTCATAGTAATAGGATGGGCTCTCTTGCATTTAGTTTTAAGATACATACAACGGTCAAATTCGTTACTTACTTTTATTCACAAAAAGTGTACAAGATACACATGAACAATCCAATTCCTCCTTTCCCATTGCACATAACGCTTTGCCTATTTATTTCATTTTTTTATGTAAATAGTTTTAGTGCTATAGAATTAAATTACTTAATATCATGGAATAAAAGAGTTACTATTCCGTTTATTTGTAACAAAAATTTGATAACGACGTTGCAATTTTATTTGTGATTATAATAACTGACTATAATAATATAAATAATAACTAACTAAATGCTTAGATGGTGTTAAGATTGGTCACTTTGAAAGGTAACTTGTATCATTATGCATTTACTTATTGAAAAAAATAATTTGTAATAAATAATAAGTTACGTAATTCATATAATCTCGTTGTACCTACAAATAATGACTAAAAAGTTATGATTTACAAATGCTAAGTTAACTTTTTCAGTAATGAGTGACTTTTCCAACTCGTTACAAGTAATGATTGAATGACTTTCCAAACCTGATGTTACCGTTATAATCATAAAAAATTTATTCAAATCTATATTATTATTATAACAGAGTAACAATAAGGAAAGTAACGGTGTTACAAGTAACATCTTAGTTCCATTCTCTACTCATAAGTATGTGATAATAACTCAACACATATGAAAGGAAAAAATTATTACATGTTCATTCTTTATGTAGAAATCGCGGAAGAAGCAGTAAACACTATCGTCACCGTGCGTCGCCCGATTGCAATACTGTTGCCAGTTTCGATAGCAGTTCCTCGGAGAGTCGAGGAGGCCTGAATCGATATTATCGCCAAGCCTGGGAGAATCTGCACGAAACCACCGGTCACAAGGCTGGCCATCCGCCACTTCGTCGTAAGGAGACCCTGGATGAACCAGGATACCGGGAGAATTTCCGTGGTAATAACACTGAACGCGACGGCTCAGAATTAGTTGTTAGTGACGTCGCCGCATATCCATCAAGCAAACACGCCAGCGTCTCCGATAAGAAGCGTCATCATCATCACCATCATCATCATCACGGAAGCGCAACGCCCGAATGGAGACAGTCGCAATCCCATCATAGATATTAAACAGAGAGCAAAACAGGAAAAAATCTTTATACTTACTATGTCATCATCTGCAATCATCTGGACGATGATTTGGTGTACTAAACATTCGTAACTGTCATGAAAATGTTAAAAGATCCTCCTTAAATGAAGGAAGCGAATCTTCCGCTAGCACAAGTAGTACCTTGATATCGTCTTACAAAAAACAGAGACGGATAATAATCCGAATAGATCCTACTGTATTGTTCTGTTACGTTATAAATTATTTACTATCATTACGTTATGAAATGTAAATATTATACACACTATAGTTTAAAAATAAGAAGGATGGATAATCGTTCATCGTAAAGAAGGTGGTAACTGATCAGAGGATATGCCAAAAAGCAAAGAAATAATATACAATAATGACAATAATATACAATAATCAAATAGAGACGCAGTACCATAACGCTTAACAATAAGTTAATCTAAGATCAAGGATTTATGTAATCATTTACATAAAAATATTTGTCTAAGGGAGCATCACACTTGACGCTCACAACGCTCACAGAATCACTTCATCTTTAAACATGAATGTTGTTTATCAAACATTAAATTAGAATAAATAATGCTCGCGAGCATTGTAAGTGCCAAATGGGAACGCACTCTAAAAGGACACCGGATATCAGCAGAATGAACATCTGTTATGGGTACCTTGGCCTCGCTTTAAATTGATTACTATGTTTTCAATCGGATATACTGCATATAGATATCATTAAGGGAAGGCCGATGTTATCCACTTAGGAATAGGACAAATATCGTGTTGTGTACGTGTACGAGTTGCATATTTACTTACACGGAAGTAAATGAGGATTCAAAGGCATACAGTTATAAAAATGTGCCTCGTTCATTGCTGTTATATCTTCAATATATTTTACTACCGAGTTTGTATAAAATATATATATAATATATATTATAAGTATGTAACATTAATTATAATTATTACTTATTAAACATTTTTATCCAGCTCATTATAAAATGTACGTATATTTAAGAAATAACGTAGTTGTTACAGTAAGCTTTTATTAATTGACTGAAAGAATTACATATGTGAAGTGACATTGTAGATGCGTTTCCGTGATTCTATTTATCGTAATAAATTACAATAGTGCCATTTGGGGCAAACTTGTTCAATTTGTTGAAAAAGCAATTTTGTTATTCAAACAAGATACATTTTATATATATATCAATCATAAATTGCATGTATATAATAATAAGGATCA